AAAGGATGTGTTGGGACTGTCCATCTGCCAAGAGAGTGTTGAACAGAACCAGAAGGCAGGTCATGAGGCTGTTTTTAACACAGAAGGCCCAGAAGAACCACAAACAGAGTGGCCTCGTGTGGAGGTAATGCTACAGAGTTTACCACCATGTAAACAGGGTAAAGTAGGAGCTGCAGTGTGATTGTCCACAGATGGGATAACACTTCACTTTGCAAGTAGGATGTCTTAGTGTGTCCCCTCTATTTGCAGGCTGGTAGACATGAGTTCAAATGGATTCCATAAGGACTCATATGACTGCTGTATCTCCTAAGTGATAAATCAGAACTTTTCTTCATTGACCTGTAGGTCAAGGGATTCCAGAAGTGATATGATTATGGTGACAGTGGCAAGCAGCTCTTTAAATGAAAGATGGACCCAGTCATCTGTATGATTTCTTTAAGTCACAGGTATGCCACTACTATTGGTAGGCATTCTGTAAAAAGAACTTTGAATTGGAAAAGCTTATTGCTCAGGCAAAAAACTTCTCAGAAGAAAACTGCACGAAGCCAGATAAACAGGGAAGTGAAAATAGTCCACATAGTTCCCTTGAAGCAGTAAGGGGAGAATGGAAGACTTTGGGTCTGCTTGAAGATGAATCAGGTTGGTATCACATTGATCCCTGGTTCTGCCATATGGACACAGATGATTTATGAAAGCTAAACAGGACTGTGATCCCATTCCCATCTTTCAAGCAGATGCCTTCATTTTGTGATTAGGGTGCAAGGTTTGTCCCTAGATGTTCTAAGAGGCCTTTGGCTAAAGCCAAAGGTTCCCCACTCAGGATCTAGCCTCCTAGTTAAGCCCAGCTGCTGTACAGAGCATCATAACAGTAGCCTTGGAGACACCATATTGTGATGATGCTGAACTAGAAAGTCTGTGTTGCTAGAAAGTCTGTGACCTAGGTTTTGTATGCCCTCTGCCAAATGGCTGGAAACAACTGACGCTTTTTCTCACAAACTGTTTGAAGGCTGCTACTTAGACCTCAGAACTGGCAGCCTATGGGATTAGAGTTGCTGCAGAGTAGTTCCCATGCCCCACTTAATCAGCAGCTGTAAAGCTATGGTTTTCTCTGCTCTTGGATTAGGATCCCTCCTTTATTATGGATAAAGGGATTCATTTTGGCATATAAAATGAAAGAGCAGTTTGCTTCCTACTTAAAGAGATTTTCTCCCTTTCTAGATGTGCAGGGTAGGGCAGGAGATCTTAACCATAACCAAGAGGATTATGTCTGATTAAAACCTCTAAAATACCAGATCTGTTATCACCACAGGAGGAAGGCTGGGGGGGGGGGGTTAATCTATAGCCCCAGTAATTTTAATATTTACATTCTCTTTAGTATAGAGTATAATGCCACCAAAAATAGACTGAGTTGCACCTGTGAAGGATGACATAATAACCAAAGAATAGAAGAATCAGAGCAATAATTATCTTGCATTGAGGACCACTCCTGGGAATGCAATTTGAAAGGTGATTCCAGGTTAGAGGCTAGTGAAGTTTTAGCTAGTGATACTGGTAATGATGGTTGAAGTGTGGTGGTGGCTGGTATGGGTTCCTGGAATAATGGAAGGATTGTATCTTGAAAGAACTGAGTTGAAAGAGGAGACCCTAAAGCAAGATGCAAACTGGTAAATTTAGCTGGTGTAGAAGTTGTTGGTAACTCTGTATCAAGTGGATTATTGTGTGTCTGTGGTACATGGTTGGGGGACTCCTCTGACTGCTCACTATGATGATGGGAATGAGAACCTTAGTGGCATAAGGAGCAAAGCTGGGTTTTGCTATCCCTTTTTTCATAATACCACCACCAGTAGGAGGAATGATGCTTTCGTGGCAAAGATCAATTCTTATAGCAATAAAAAGGCAATTTACTTTGCCTTTTTACTACAAGTGTCGATGTTATTTCCCATGCCATGTTGTAGTAATGCTGAAGGAAGCTCCCTAATGGGACAAACAAAGCTGGTGAGGGTTCTCATTATTTAGTGGGCCTAACCCTAAATGGAAGACAGTCTGTAGAAAAGCCATCTGAGGAGTTGCAATCCCATGAGAGTTGTATTTTTCTCAGAATCAGTGCTGGCAACAAGTAACTACTGTTACTAAGAGTTGTTGTCCAATTTGATCCTTCAAGCAATCTTTAATCTTTGCTTGTCCCATTGCCCAACATATTGGTCAGGCATTTATTTCAGGACTTGGCTGGTTTGAACTTTTCAGTCTTGATTGTCTGTACCAAGGGCTTTGTACCAAGCTAATCTGCCATGGTTGGCAGCTAGTACAAAGCAAAGATAAAGCCAATGGCAGAAAAAGGCATGGTACTCCTGATACCAAGGATGTTTGCCCTGCAGCATTTTCCATGGATAAGGGTGCTGTGAGGAGGTGCAAGAGGGCAGCTTCTTGCAAATGGAGGCAGTATGCAGCAGCACTATCTTACAACTTGAGGGCTTGTTTGCATTTGTTCTGTCCTGTTTAGTAAAGGCCTGGCAGTAGGCACACAAATCCATTCATAAGTATCCCAGAGAGAAAGGAGAAAGTTCACGAGTAAGAGTTATCTTCACAGACAAGGCACATTTTTTGAGGAAGGCCTTGGAGGCCATGTGTCCTAGGGTATGAAGGAAAGAAAGAAGAAAAACTTAAGTGGAAATAGGAAAGAAAATGGAACATTAAAAAGACCCAAGTACTTTGCATCTGAAGAGAATCTGATGCAGATTCTAAAAACTGTAGCAAAGACCTGAGGAATGGGAATGTTCCAAATGCTGTTAGTTGCTGTAAGCAAAGGAAATGTGAGGCATCCAAAAGCCATGCCAAGATCCTGTGAAAAGTGGGTGGGCTGGACTCCTGCCTAAATTCTGTTCACTTCTAGAATATTCCAAAGGACTTTTCTGCACAGGTGTATAACACCTATCTCTGAATCACAGAGACCATAAAGAATAATCACAGGTCCTTTTATAAATCAGGAATTTATTAAAAATATTAAACAGAGTAGAAGAATATTTTTAAGGGTAAAGAATCGTTAAGATTTCTTCCCCTTCCAAAGAAAACTAAATAGAGACCCGCACTATTTGATATAAAAATAGATTTCAGTTTATTTCAGTTTATTATTAGCTTGAACTTGTAAACTTGTAAATCACAACCAATTCTTGAGGGTGTCTAAACTTCCAATCTAAAGAACCCTATATAATTTCCATGACATTCAAATTGGACAAAGTATGATTAATTCTAAGCACATGTTGGTACAGTTTGCAGTATTGCCACAGTTCACCGTTGCTTATTTAAGCCACAGTAGGATGTAGCATGATAGTGACCATTGTGAATATTCAAGCTAGAAGGCAGTCATTGCAGCTCACCATGATGTGCAAACCCCCTGTAGAATGCATTGCTGCAATGGTTGCCAAACCATTCTCAACACAAACACAGTCCATGGGTAAGCCATAAAAAGCTGTGGCAATTGCACAAACCAGGCCATTGCCTCCAAACCATGATCTAAAGCTTGCCTCATTTTGTGCCTGTTTTCTCCATTATTCTGCTCTTTCTAAAGTGGATATCCTGAAACAATTTTATCCATTGGGTATTCAGGATATCAACTGGTTCAAACAATTTACACTGTAAATTATATTTCCTCAATTGAAAGTAAGTACAGTAGGTATAATCCCAAATCTTATTCACCTATGTATGTGTTCTCTCATTCATACACACATGCATGTACACACTCACACACTAAGAGAAGTGAAGTTCAGGTTACCATTCAAAGTTCACTAAAACTGTCAATGTAGCGCAGCTTTAAAAAACATACAACTATACAGCAAGAATTAGTCGGAAATTGACTGAAAATAGAATTACAAATGTTGGTAACTCCATTATACTGCACTGCAGTAACACCCATGATATTCTGACATGCTTTATCTCCAAGATGTAAGGATCATGGAAATAAAAATATACACAGAGGCCATCTTTCCAGCTCTTCTGTAATCCTAACCCTCCAAACAAACAAATGCAGGTATGTAAAAATTAATCTACCCTGGACTATCTGATACACAAATTATGTAAAAGGCATCAACATATTTCCATATACTCAGAAGTAATCATGAATGCCAACTCCAGATAAAGTGGTCCCCCACTTTACACTGTAAAAAGAATTGTGCACTGTAATATTCCAGCTAAAGAAATAAAGCAGAGTTTAAATGCAAGAGAAGTGAATGAGTAATCAGGATTATGCACATGTCTGTGCCATATATCCAGTTCACATTGGTGACAATAAAGGTTTACTGTGAACAATGTATGTGCTTCTGCTTGTGTCCTGCAAGACGGTAAAGCAAAATGGGAAGGAGAGCTTGTCATGACATCCAAACCTGGTATCCTGGTTTGTTGCAAAACAAAACAAGTGTGTTGTTGGGTTAAGAATTCTATCTTGTTTGAAGGCAACAAACCAGGATTCCAGGTTCAGATATCACAATACAGTGTCTGTTCCTGATTAGTTTTATCCACTCGCATGGAGAGGGTGTAAGCAGGCTGCATCTGCCATCATGTAAACCAGGAAACCTCTTCTATCATTATGTCTGAATGCAGTCATTGACTACATTTGGATATAATGCAAAAACATGGCTTACCACTATGAAAAGGAGCCGTAACACATCTTGTGCATCCCTCACATCATCTCTTCCTCCAGTAAAGGTGTGAGGAATGTAGAAGCTTTTGTTTCCAGTTTTTATTAACCAAAGATTAGCAGGTCATCTAAATCCTAAAGTGTCATATAAATTTAACTGTGATAGTTGAAAAAATCTAACATCATAGTCTTTGAACCACAGTAAAGTTTAAATACACTTTGTCCAGGTTCAGACAATAAAAGCTGTGATTAATCTAAAGACAAAGCAACAGTTTCTTCTCACAAGAGCTTGTTTCTATAAAACTACACTATAATTTCACATCGTATTTGTGAGAGACTCAGTTGTTAAGCAAATGATTGAATATAGTACCTGAACTCCTGCATCATCTTCATCTTCAGGATGTGGTGACCCTGCTGGTGTTTTCTCCACATCTGAATTTTCAGAACCTTCCTTTCCCTTGTTGACTTTTTTCTTCACAGCACTGGCTTCTGATTCTGGTTTCTTGTTACTAAAACATAAGCATTCTCCATTAGAGTTTGAATAAACAAAATTAATATATCATTTAGAATGGTAAATCTGTAGTCATTTCATTAAGTTTACCCAATTAAATTTTACATACAGCAAATGTGTATTACCACCACCACCACCATACTATTCCTACTGTTGTATACTTTCCTACTTGCTTAATATGTTAGCTCAACAGCAAGGGCAGAAAGAAGAACATAGGTTCTAAAATGGGTGCTAGAAGGGAAAAAAGAATTGGATAGCATACAGACAGGAAAATCTCTCTCTAGTAAAGGAAAACCTGGCATTTCCAACACCAATAGGGAATGAGAGCTGTGCATTCACACTGCCCTCATGCTGTCAGAGACTGCTGGCAGCAGGGAACTTTTACCTGCCAGAGTTGGATTACATGTAGTACATCAACTGCACGATAGATTTAAAAAGTACTATTTACTTCAACTTAGGAATTCTGCATAACATCTGAACATAATGTAAAGCAGAACAAGATAAAACTCTGTTAAATATGAACGTTAAGCTAATCAGAATATATAGAGCAATACACCTAACAAAGTAGTTATAAATAGTTAGGTGATATTCCTCTAATACATTTTGTATGTATACACACAAACTTTTTTGGAACTCAGATGCACAACTTTATAAAAAGCTAAACATATCAAAACACCAGCTATTCTGTTGTATCATCTTTCCCAATACAGCTATGATTCAAACTTTCTAGAAGTGGTGTCCATATAGCTTTTGCCCAATATATTAGTAGATTTTCACATGAACATTCACAAGTTATTTCATGCAACTGGTCTGAATGGCTGTTCTAATAATATTCTTCTTCCACTATTTAACATAGTAGAGGAAAATTTTAAAAAGCTTTATACTTTCAGAAACTCAGATTATGAAAATATTAATGTATGCATGTGCATGCACAAACACAATATGCATAAATAGTTTCAAAAGTCTCTAAAACACTGACAATCCTACAATGTTTGATATCTTTAGAAGAGCTACAAGACAAACTCTTTTTTTTAAAGTAAGCTGTACAACATTTCCCTTTCCAACTGTCCTAGTGTGTATACTACACATGGACAGAAGTCTCCCCTACTATGAGGCTCCATTTCCAGCATTTATTTCCGCTCTAACTGCCACAAATTATACAATACTACAGCTGAACACTGGGCCCCTTTCCTTTCATCTGCACGCCAAGAGCAATCAGATTACCCTGGTAACCAGTGGTCACATGACCAGCACCTGCTCTTTTGGCTGGATGCCACTGACTAAAGCCATCTGCTTCCCTCAATCAGCTTTCAAACATTCTCAACACCTGCGCTGCAGCATTTTGTGGTTTCTTTTATCAAATCAGTGCAAAACTGCTTTCCCAAACTTTACATATTTCTCAAATTTGTTTAAATCAAAGGTAAGCCTGTCGTAGTTGAACTGCTGCCAGGTAAAGCAAGCTGACAGGCTAGTGCTTTTTGCTGGTGACCTCTATAAATCAGAGCTAAGCATACAATTTAATTTAATAAGTTAGTGTACCCTAGGTGCACTACTGCAAATGAGTAAGTGGCTTAACATACTGAAGAACAGCACAGGGCAGATTTGATAAAATGTCAGTTTGCTGAAAGGCTAGAAAGTGCTAATGATTCCCTGCCTTTTGTTCAAGACATATAAAAATGCCAAGCATTGTCAACACAAGAGATTTCATACAAACAAACCATCCAGCAAAGGGGCTTATGTGTATATATTACCTGTATTTGCATGAACATTTTTTTAAAAAGCCTTACACTTTTTAACTGGCAACTGCTAAAGTATGAAAAACACCTTCATATGTACTATTATTGATCTGCTTCTGGGGTCAGTGCATTCAGGATTACAGAACCTTTAAGCAGAAGCAACTGCAGAAGAGTGGCCATGAGTAGGATGGGCATACATTTAGAACTAAGAAACAGGATGCTTCTGAGCACGTGCTCAACCTAGGAAATTGTTTCCACTCACAGAACTGACCCCAGTCCTTTCACACAAGAACCCACTCCTGATTCTCCCCCCTCCCGGCTGTCTTCATTTCAACAACCTAATTTAAGGAGTGGAGGGATCCATTTTCATTGTTGGAACTGCTGAAACCACTGGAAGCCAGAAATCCTTGTCAACCTTCTGCAAGTCATCCAGAGATCTTCAAGTAGCTTCTGCCTGCTGCTAGCATCTGTTAATCAAGTTGATACAAAGTTTCTCTCACAAGAAAATATGCAGCAATCTGTAAATGGGACTTCCTACAGTTTTCCATGTTCTTAATTAAACATACAGTATTCACTAAAGGAATAGGTCAACACTTCTAGGAAAACACATTATCTCCAAATTTCTGAAGAAAAGCTGAGCCCCAGGAAGCTATGTATTAGTAAACAGTAAAAGTTTTGGGCAGAACAATTGTACCTGCCATTGCAAAGGTTTTGATACTGGACTCTCCAACAAATCCAAAGCCTTGTTGGAGAAAGCCTGGAAGAAAAAGTGATATTTTATATATTTTTCTTTTCCCATAGGGTCCATTTCTCCTTTTAAAAATGTAGTTCCTCCTACTGAAACTAATGGGATGCAATAGATCTATGCCACCTCCAGGGCTGGCATTGATCGTCAGCTGAATTGGAAGCATGTCTTGGGAATAAGGAAAAATGTGAACCCTATGCACGTGCAGCCTTTCCCCAGCACATTTCCTGGTCCACTCCTGTAATACCTCCTTTGACACTATCCCGATTATCAGAAAGGAGGTGCTACAGAAGTTTCAATGGTGGCTGGGGAGGAATCTGAGGTTGGCTTCACAAACTAACTTCTCATAGAGAGATCTAACAAAACCTCTGGTCCCAGGACAGCCTTCCAGGATTCTCAGGTTTGCAACCCAATGGAAAGAATTCAGTACAGATTTACTCTTTGTTTACTAGGCAGATCAGAAAGAAAAATAATGCACAAAAGTAACACACTCTGGGTTGGTTCACGGGATCATGCCAGCAAACCAAGACTGATAAAATAGCACAAAGTAACCCATAGTGGATTGTGATGCATGTTGACATACATTTTGAATGTTGAACCCCAAGTACGGGATTGTTTGACCTGCAACCACTGCTGCCCAGGTTCTGATGAAATGACAAACTATGGCAACCCCAACTGGGGAATAAATATCCAGAATAGCCACTAGCATACACCATAACACACTATGGCTTAAATAAGTCACACTGGACTGCCATGACTGTGCAAAGCAGTATTCTTTCTCAGCTGCAGGAAGATTTACATCACTGCTTTTTAACTTTAGAACAAATACAGAGACTAGATTTTACCTGCTGGTTTAAAACAGCAACTCCCTACAATGGCCAATAATTACATGTAGCTACCCAGTTTCAAAGGAATCCTAAATGTGTTCATAGCTCTTGTATTATTTAATATTTGGTATGCCATAAGCAAAACAAGTACCAACACACATGTGTGCATGCAAAAGTAGGCATACACCTGATTATCCTATTCAGAATCAGTACATCTGAGACCAGTGGGGACACCTTTGCTCCACTGATAAAACAGCACAAGTTAAATGTAGTTTAGAATCTGTTTTCTTCAGGTATTTTTACTTTTAAAATACATACACAGGAGTAATTTCAATTTCCATGTCTGATATGGCTAACGAAGTCCCCATTTATATTCTACCTATAACAAGTATGGCATAATTACCCAGAAGAATCAACATACATAATGGTACAGGACCAAAACAAGGTTACAGATATAGAATAGAAAGAGAAAATATGTTCTTTGAAAACAAGGTAACAATGCAACAGAAGAAACATCAACAAGAAATACAAAAACAAACACTACCAAAAATAAAACACAGACATGAATCACCAAGACCAATTCAACCAATGCTAAGTATGAAAAAAGCATTAGCTGCTCCTGGGAATGTATTTATTTAATTTCCACATCTAGCCAGCAACTCTTCCAAAAACTGAGGGCAATCTATGTAATTAGCATTTGAACATCAGTGTAGAGAGATCTACCTGAAACACATTAGCACTTACTAATTTAAACTTTAAACAGGTGCTAAATACATCACACTTTACCAGAAAGGTCCCAGTCCCCAAACCCTCTCAAGCCTCTACCTTGACCCCAGGTTCATCCACTCTGTTCCCCATCTGATGAGTCTGTTTCCTTTTCTGCCATGATAATTTCTCAGGAAAGGTGTGCCCCCCACCCTCTCCCTCTCGGAAGAGAGACTCTGTCTAGAATGAATGAAAGGGCTGGAAAGGAAGTGAGACTGGTTTGAAAGGAGGAATATAGTGCAATAAAGGGGTAAAAAGGTGTGAAGAGGCAAGCCTAGCAAGTGACAGAGGGGGAAGTAGAAGAAAGAATGAGTCAGAGGGTAGGAGGAGAAAAAACAGCAATGTAAAGAAGTGGTGCGGGAGAGAAACAGCTAGGCTGGGAGGAAGGAGAAGTGCAAAGGGGTAGAGGAAAAAGAATGAGCAATAGAAAGTGATTTAGGGTTGGGGTAAGCATTCCATGCACTTTGGTGTTTAGTCATGCTGGGCCACATGACCCTGGACACTGTCTGCGGACAAACGCTGGCTCCCTCAGCTTGGAAACGGAGATGAGCCCTGCCCCCAAGAGTCAAGCATGACTGAACTTCATGTCAAGGGGAAACCTTTACATTTACCTTTAAGTTTGGAAGGGAGAGTGAGAAAGAGAGCACACGTGTTCATGCAGAAGGGAAAGTTCTGTATGGGAGGAGGAAGATGGGGTGGGTCCAGAGAGCAACCCTTTCCTCTTTTCCCTGTAGGCCAAATAGTTGATCAACAGCAGTTTCAAGAAGAGGAAGGAGAATCTGGAATCCGAATGTTTTTCCATTCTTAAATATTGGAAATATGGTTTTGAAGGGGACACAGGCCCCAGTTAAGGCCCCACTGAAAACTGCATCCCCTCACCCCCTGCTTTACTGGTTTACTCTTGACCTCAAAAAAGCTGCTCGAA